TCTAGCATTCCTAGACCTCTGTATTCAGTAAAAGATTTCAAGGATGAGAAGAGCATGTATTGAGAGGAAGGTCATGAAAAGCCAACAGGAGAAGGGCCATTTTCTCCCCTGCAGGGGACTGACCCTGGGCAAGGCCCAGCTTGGGAAGCAGCCATGTGGGACATTCATCCCCAGAAGATCCTATGCCCCATCAGCACCCAATGTCCACCTGGTTTGAAGATACTGCAGAGAAGTTCTCAGAAACACTGCCAGGCACTGCAGATTGATAGGTTCACTGAGACTGGAGGGGACCTCCAAAGCCCATCTAGCCACCCACAGTAGCCAAGCATGGACACCTAACCAGGCAGCCCAGGCCCATTTCCAGATGGGCTTTTGTATCTCCAGTGATGGAAACTCCCGTACTTTTGGGGAAACTTGATTCAGTGCATTTTGCACTTTCATTCCCATAGTTGGAAGGGGATGGATTCCCAAAGCGCGGCAAGCTGATGGGTTGTATCCTAGTTATTTGAAGTTTCCTGTTCTTGAGTCTTGCAACATGAATTTGCTGCAGATGTCCCAGGATGGTAAATGGATGCTCAGGTGTCTACTAGGAACAAAGGAGAGTATCTTGAGTTCCCAATGGCCATTTCAGCTTTAGGTCAATTTCCGAAATTCACTGAAGAATGGGTGTTGTCTTTGAAGAGGTTTTATGTGCTGGGCTGGACTGTAGTTGCAGGGATAAAGACTGATGCCGGTAGCAGAGATACCCTGGGAACTCCACCTGGCTCCAACTGAATCCCCCAAAGGGCTCTGGTCTCCTGCACGCCCTTTCTGATAGCTGCAAATCCAGGGAACTACTTCAAATACAACCGGGTCTCTGGTGGTTTTCCCTGATTGCTTATGGTCAGACAGAAAAGTTCTGTGTCAATACCCAGTAACTTCATTAGTACTTAACTAATAGAGCAACTACTCATCACTTCAAATGATTTAATCCCTTCCATGGAATGTCACACAGTGTAGTTTCTACTATGTAGAAATGTGAATTTTCAGGATGTATTTTCATCGCAGGAGAAGAAATACTGGTGTTCATCTGTAGTTGCACTGTCCTCTCATAGTCTGTCACAATGTGCTCCCTCATCTTCCAGGCACATCCACAAGTTTTGATTAAACAGACAATGCTGAATGTAGCTTTTCCAGCTATCTGCACCTATGCACTTCCCATGGTTCTGGTTTTCCCTCCTCTTACTCTTTGATCATTCACACTGCTCTCACCAACACAGCTGCTGCTTTGAGCATGAGGTAGAAGTAGCCCAACTGGCCCATCTATCAGCAATCCATATTTTTTTTTCTTTTAGCAAGAACCTCATACTTCGTCACTGAAATAATATGGTATGGATCAATGCTAACACTATTGTTCATAATTTCATATCTATCAGTATAAAATACTTCTTGTACATTCAATCTTTTGGGAAGGTAAACCTCAGAGAAGGAATAGAAGATGAAGAGGTTTTTTATTATTTTATTTTATTTTATTTTATTTTATTTTATTTTATTTTATTTTATTTTATTTTATTTTATTTTATTTATTTTATTTTATTTTATTTTATTTTATTTTAAAAATTGCTGCATGATTTCATTTTCTTTGGTTAGAAATAACAAAGACCCTTCTGTACCTGTGTACAGCCACATCTCTTAGGAAAGCAGGTAGGAGCTGCTGCAAAGGGGCTGTAACATCCAGCTGCAGCCTTGAGTGAAGTCTGGTGTAAGGAAATAAGCAGCAAGCGCCAGGTGGCCAATGAGAGAAATGGCAGGGCTGGGGTGGTGACGAGCAAGGTTGTCCATGCAGTGTCAGACCTATAGAGTCTGCTTTTCCTCCCCACGCACTTCTCCGAGGGAGACACTCTGGATCAATATCAATTAGGGAATAACGCTCCCCAAAAAAAAAGTCAACTCAATGCATCCTTTAAGATGAGACAAGATTTTTATTATGTGCTATTCCTCCTTAACTAAACCGTGAAAGCTCTACAATTAGCTCTACAAGTCTTGAAGCCGTGAATAAAACTATAGAGGGGATGTTAGGAGTTTCTGCATTTTAATGAGTCCCATGGAGCATTTTGGTGTTGAGTCTATGAAGTTCAGCTACTGAGAGGAGAGTGATGCAACTGCTAGAGAAAGTAAAGTCAGGAGGACAAGTTGAAGTGACTTGGAGTATTAATGAGCCCCACTGAGGGCTTTTACTAACAAAGCCTCCCCAGGGACTTGTTAGGGTAGATAATTGGAGGCCATGATTGCAGACAGGCAAAACACTGTCCTGAGAAAAGTTTTGGTTTGCTTTGATGAAGCAGAAGGGCCAAGGCCTGCCACCAGCTACTGGCGGGGAGATCCTGTACCCCATGCCTGGCTCTGGGCTTTTCCTGGGAATCTGTGGGGTGTGGTGGGCAGTGTGATGCCATGAGACAAACACTGGTAAGACACCTCCCAGCCTCTTCACAGGGTAGCAAGGAAGCAATGATGGACCATCGCAATGAGTATAATGTGTCTCCTCATAAGCTCTAGACAAAGGGACAAAAATGTCTGGGCTGTTGTGTCCTTCCATTCTTGCCACCACCCACCTCTTTTTCCTCTATGCTGTATCACACTTAATCCTATTTCCTTGAAGTCTACAGACACCTATCTCTTTTCACCACCCTGCTTTCATCCTGGCATTTCCATCATTTCACCAGTGTCTCATCAACACTCACCAGCTGTTCCTTGAAACACAAAGCTAGGGTCTGAGAACAGACACTCTTTGGGTGACCTCGGGCACCACAGCACGGACCCTTTGAGGGATATTTCTTCCTCCTCGTGGCCAGTTCCAACCTTACAGGGCACACTTTGTGGCAGTTTTTTCTTTCCTGCTCTTTCCTACTACCACAGAAAGCTCCATCAGGGTGGAAAACACTCCTGAAGTAGGCATCCCAACTCATCAGGCTTCCTGCGACCTGTCAACCAAGCAGACACAAGTCACCTCAGCAGCAGCTTCCAAGCCAGGGGCCTGCTGCTGGCCTTGAAGCTTCTTGGCTAGACACAGCCAAGCCTTGTGCCTGCTGCTGTGCAGTCATGGACTTAAGCAGAAGGGACAGGACAAGCCATCTGGGGGCCTTCTTTCTGCCTGGGTCCTCCTGGCTGCGGAGGCAGAGGGGATCCCCCACTCAGCATGCCAAGCAGGTGCCTTCTGCTGGCCTAGCAGGGCCATTGGCAGATGTCAGCCCAAAAGTGCAGCTCCCAGGTCTATGTCAAGGCTGACCTGTCCCCTCCAGACACAAGTGACCTCACAGTCCCTTTCTGTGATACGTTCCTGCTGCTGCCCTATCAAGTGCAGAGACAGAAGTGACCTCTGCCCTTTTGAGGCCCCACTTGTAGTGATGCATCCAGGACTTGGACACCCAGCAGAGGAATGATGTGCATCTGTTAGAATGGGTCCAGAGGAGGGCCAAAAATATGATCAAGGGGCTGGAGCACGTCTCATATGAAGAAAGGCTGAGAGAGCTGGGGCTGTTCAACCTGGAGAAAAGAAGGCTCCAGGGTAACATATTTGTGGCCTTTCAGTACTTAAAGGGGGTGTATAAAAAGACCAAGAGGCTGGGAGGAGAACCTGCAGTGACAGCTGACCCAGCCTGAGCAGTGTGAGTTGCCCATGCACTCCTCAGATTCACCTTGTTTGTTACCAGACACTACATTGCACGGTTATTTTATGAGGTTCTAATCACTACCCACTGAGCACCCTGTCCCTGGAGATCCCCTGACTTCTCCTGGCAGCTCCAGATTCCTCTCCAGGTTGGCATTGGCTGTCAACCCCGCTGCAGGGGGTGTAGTCCCATGCAGATCAGTTTAAGATCAGCTGTCATGTCCTTAGGCAAGTTCTGCCATAACAGGAGCTCTGAGTGCTGCCCTTGGTTCCTCAGGGACCACCCTGGCACTTTCATCCTGTGTCCTTCACTCTATGACAAACCCCCAGAATAGAGAAGAACAGGGAGCAACCCCTTGGCTGTGTTCCTGATAGCACATTTGGAAGAGGTGTCCAGACTTCTGGGTTTGCTCTCAGCAGCCCTTCTTGTTACTGTGGTGCTAGCAGGGAGACAGCTGTGACCCAGGGCTGCACAGTGCCTGCTGCTGCCTGCAGCCACAGGGATGCCACTGCAGAGACAACAGGACTGTCACCAAGGTACACAAGATATCAGGGCTTACCCAGAAAAAAAGAAGCACAATGTGGAAGCCAAAAGAGAGCAGCAGGGAAAAGGCCACGTCCTGCTGCTGACCATGGCCATGGCTCCAGGGAAGCAGCAGCCCCGACCCGAAGGCAGCAGAGAGGCAGAGTCCAGCGGGCAGGGAGGGGCAGCCCTGAGGGCCACCAGGGTTGCTCCTGCATGTGGCAGCTGGGCTCTTGGTCCTGAGCCCCTCCTGCATGCTGGGGCTGCTCCCCCAGCTCCAGAGGAGATGGAAAGAGACGGCAGCTCAGACCAATGCGTTTCTGTTGGATTCTTTATTGCCTTTATCTACAGAGGAAGCCTGGTTCTATAGGTAAATCTTTAACAAGTAGGAGGCTAAGATTAATATTATTTATATCTGAAACAAGAGTTAGTGAAAATAACAACACAGACAAATATAAACAAAAAAAAAAAGTATCTTAAAGTTTTCTGAAAAATATGTATTTCTGATTATAAGCTTATTGTTATAGACAAAGAAACTGAAGAATATGTATTCAAGCAGTGTCCTCACTGCAACGCTTAGTTCCAGGTTCCTCATGTTTTAGATGAGTGGGTTCACTGCTGGAGGCACTGACGATGGGAAGAGACTGCAGTAGTGACTAATGAAATTGTCCCAGTTCCTTTATTGTCTTTATTTAAACAAGAATATTGATTGTAAAAGTTTTTGAAATGATCGACTTCATAATAATAATGATAAAATAATAATTAGGAGGCTTAGAATAACATTAAATCAAAGCCACAAGTAATAGGAAATAATAATAAAGAAAATTACTTTCAAGAATTTGCACTAAGAGTGTTTGTTTGCAGAAATCCTATTACTATTTTATGCATATTATTAGTGCTGAAGGAAGAGGTATAAAATAGTTTCCTCACTGCATGTTTGAGCTCCTGGTTCCTCATGCTGTAAATGAGGGGATTGACTGCTGGAGGCAACAGTGAGTATAGAGCAGCCACCACCAGGTCCAGGGATGGGGAAGAGATGGAGGGGGACTTCAGGTAGGCAAATATGCCAGTGCTAAGAAACAGGGAGACCACGGCCAGGTGAGGGAGGCATGTGGAAAAGGCTTTGTGCCTGCCCTGCTCAGAGGGCATCCTCAGCACTGCCCTGAAGATCTGCACATAGGACACCACAATGAAAACAAAACAACAAAAGGCCAAAAAAACACTAAACACAAGTGCCCAAACTTCCCTGAGGTAGGCATCTGAGCAGGAGAGTCTGAGGATGTGGGGGATTTCACAGAAGAACTGGTCCACAGCATTGCCATGGCAGAGGGGCAGGGAAAATGTGTTGGTCGTGTGCAGGACAGCATTGAGAAAGCCACTGCCCCAGGCAGCTGCTGCCATCTGGGCACAAGCTCTGCTGCCCACGAGGCTCCTGTAGTGCAGGGGCTTGCAGATGGCAACGTAGCGGTCATAGGCCATGATAGATAGAATTGAATACTCTGAACCAAAGAAGAAGACCAAAAAGAGAACTTGAGCAGCACATCCTTGATAGGAGATGGCCCTGGTGTCCCAGAGGGCATTGGCCATGGCTTTGGGCAGAGTGGTGGAGATGCAGCCCAGGTCGAGGAGGGCGAGGTTGAGGAGGAAGAAGTACATGGGGGTGTGGAGGCGGTGGTGGCAGACTATGGCGGTGAGGATGAGGCCGTTGCCCAGGAGGGCAGCCAGGTAGATGCCCAGGAAGAGCGCGAAGTGCAGGAGCTGCAGCTCGTGCGTGTCTGCGAATGGCAGCAGGAGGAACTCCCTCACAGAGCTGATGTTGGGCATTTGGTGGTTCTGGCCATCGGTTACTGCCAAGGATGAAAAAAGCTTTAATAAATAAGAAGACATACCTCAGATAAAGTTCTTACATTTCTCACATAACTGCCCTGAAAACTCTTTTAGTCAGGCATTTACCAGCTCCCTTTCATATGCTCTTCTTGATGCTGCCTGAGGGTGTCCCTGGGAGCAAGGGACCCTGCTCTGGGCAAGGAGTCAGTCCTGCCCCACAACCAGAGGTAAAGAGGAAGATGGGGTATTGTCAGATTCAATCAGCTGATAATAAAGAGCTTTTCAATTTTATTGCTCCCAATTCACCCAACTGCAGAGCTGGGCTACGGGAATTTATTTTTGTATTTTCTGTCTAACTGCTTACCCGACCCTGTTTTCTAAGGCATAAATCCTGGGCATTTCAAATGAAAACTTGTGGATCCTCAGATGAAAGAGTCCCTTCAGAGTTTCATTTAGAGACAATTTCGAGCCATGCTTAGGCTCATTTGGCCTGTGCTGGCATTTATTGAGCTACAGAAGTATTGCACTTGGAGATTCATAGAGACATGGAGTCATAGATTATCCCAGGTTGGAAGGGGCCCGCAAGGATATTCAAATCCAACCCCTGAATCTGTACAAGGCCAACAGACCCCATCCCACAAGCTGTGTGCACAGACTCACTCAGATTCCCCGCCACCGCAAGTATCTGAAAGCACAGAAACTAAAAAAGCCTTCCTCTTCAGATAATCCAAGCCTCAGTCTTCCTCTGGAAAAGTCCTTTTATAAATGCCATTCCCTACAGCATCTTCTAGTCCACATTAAATGTAGAGCATAAGCCATCCTTACAGATGCTATCAGCCATTGGATGTGCCAGCTGTACAAGACCCCTCTAGCAGCCCCACATGCATTGCCCTGCTGCCAGAGCCTCACGGTGTCAAGAGCCTGCAGATGTGTCCTGCCACACGCTGCCCTCTTTTGTTGTGCTCCCCAGTGCCTCCAAGCCCTCTCTCCTTCTCTCCTCTCCCCATGCCAGCTGCGGTCAGAGCCCCCAGCCCTGCTGCGCTGTGCAGAGGAGCTGCTTCTGGGCACAGCTCTCTCTCTGCTTCATGGGACTTTCTGAAATATGTTTTTTTTCATCTCCCAGGAGCCCGGCCCAGCTCAGCACAGCACCAGCTCAAGGCACTGCAATCACCCCTCTGGGGGCTTTGCTGATGAGCCCACGAGCCTCAGGCACTCAGAGACAATTGAAGACATCTCTCCAGAAGTGCAAGTCAGAGGCAAGTTTCCTGCAGTGTCTCCCTGAGGGCCAGCACTGACACAGCCTCCCTTGGAGCTCGTTAGAGCAGAACCCTGGAGGCAGTGAGGACAAGGAGACAAAGGCAATGTGAAGGTGACATTTATGTGTAGGAAAAGTGGATGTGTGTCACCAAGCACAAGGGCCAGGCCTTGACCTCCAGCCTGTAGGAAGCGAAACCTTTCCCTTCACACCTTGCTCAGGGCTCTTTGTGGGGCAGTAGGAGACGGGGATGTGCATGGCCAAGTGCAGGAGAATGGTACAACCCCTGCCTGCTTCATGGGTGGGGGTGAGGAGGAAATGAGGCCCTGGTGTTTTAACAATATGTCTCCTCATTGGCTTTAGTGGCTTAGAAGACAGCAGCCATAGCCATGGACACAAAGACTTTGGTTCCGTTGGGACTTTCAGCCTTTCTAGTGTCCTTGCTCTTCTCTGAACCAGGCTGTCCTAGGAAATCCCAGTCCTGTACCTTTTTCCCCGTTCCTGTAGACCATTGTTTTTGTGGTGTCTCACTGGATCTGTTCTGAGTCTGATAACTCCAATTCTCCTGGTGGCCATGGTCCTTGTAAGGCAGCTCTGTAGGATGCTGGCCTGGTTCCTGGTGAGCAGGCACCACTGCTCGTACGGCATCCCTCATGGAGGGTGTTCACAAGTCTATGGAGTTGGATGGGATATAGCCAAGGGTACTGAGGGAGCTGGTAGATGTGCTCACCAAACTGCCTTCCATCATTTATCAGCAGTCCTGGCTATCAGTCAACTGGTGACTAGCAAATGTGATGTCCTCCTCAAAATGGCTGGAAGGAGGATCATGGGTTTGTCAAAGGCAGGTCCCGCTTGGCAAATCAGATCTCAAGGTGTGACAAGGTGATGCTCGCAGTGGATGAGGGAAAGGCTGTGGATGTGCTCTACCTAGGCCGCAGTAAGGCTTTTCCATCTTTTCCCACAACATTCTCTAGAGAAACTGGCTGCTCAAGGCTTGGACGGGTGTATGCTTTGTTCGGTTAAAAACTGGCCCAAAGAGTCATGGTAAATGCAAATAAATGCAGATGGAGGCCTGTCCTTAGTGTCCCCCAGGGCTCAGTACTGCGGCCAGGTCTCTTCAATATCTCCACCAATGATGTGGATGAGGGGATCGAGTGCACCCTCAGTAAGTTTGCAGATGACACCAAGTTTGGAGTGAATGTTGATCTGTTAGGTGGGCTTGTGAGGCAACAACTGGAGTACTGTGTTCAGCTCTGGGGCCCCAATAAGAATGTGTATCTATTAGAAGGAGTCCAGAGGAGGGCCATGGGGACGATCAATGGGCTGCAGAACTTTTCCTAGGAACGTGCTGAGGAAGATGGGTTTGTTCGGCCTGGACAAGAGAAGGCTCTGGGGAGACCTTAAAGAGCCCTTCCAGTACCAGTAGGGGGCCTACAGGACAGCTGGGGAGGGACTCTTCATCAGAGTGTCATGATAGGAGTAGCGTTAATGGTTTTAAACTGAAAGATGGTAGATTTAGATTAGCTATTAGAAAGAAGTTCTTGACTTAGAGGGTGGTAAGGCAGCGGAACAGGCTGTCCAGGGAAGCTGTGGATGCCCTGTCCCTGGAAGTATTCAAGGCTAGGTTGGATGGGGCTTTGAGCAACCTGGTCTAGTGGAAGCCAAATTGATGGTGGAGCAGAGTGAGAAGGAGAGAAGGCCTTGATGTTGTGCAAACACTGCACAGGAACAACGACTACAGCCGTGGGTGACCAACACTGCTCTGGACACATATTAAAAACACAGCACCACAGGGCCTGATCTGCAGAGAAACTCTGTCCCAGCCAGAATCAGTGTCCCCACAATGGGCAAGAAGCTCTGGAAGGAGCCAGGAAGGTGCTAATAAGCACCAGGAAAATTGAGGAAACCCAAAGGCCCTTCTGAAGGGTCACAGAGAAACAGTGCTGGGGAGTGGGGAGGGCCAGGAGAAAGACTTGGGTGAAAGCTGTGAGAAACAGAGACACTCAGAGCTTTAGCAGCTGTCTGTGCATGGAGTAGGAGGATGAGGTCAGTCCTGGGACTGGGCCAGGGCTGAAGGGCCCTGCATGAAGCTGGGCAGATGGAGAAATGTCCACCTTGCATGTGTGCCTCAGCCTGGGAGCAGGGGCCTGCCCGCGGTGTGGGATGGCTGGGCTGTGCTCAGCCATGCCCCAGGAGATGACCTTGCTCTCTTCCTCCCCACCACTCCCCACACGGGGCAGGCCCTCAGGAAACACCCCTGAGCCTGGAGATGCACCAACCTGCTGCAGTGAGGTGCCACTAGTGCAGGGGAAGAGGGGAGGGTTGGAGAGACACGTGGGGCCTGCGGGCAAGAGTGGTGTGGCCTGGGGAACTGAGTGCCTGGGAAAAGTTACCCTGGAGCCATAGGAGCCATTCTGGAAAGAAAACTTGTAGGCAGGAATCGCACTTTTGTGGCACTGTAGACCTGCTGGGCACATTGTGCAGGGTGCTCTGATGGACTTGTGTGTCCTTTTCCATCGTGTCTTAAGTGACGCTTTTCTCAGAAATAGAGCAGCCAACAGAGGTGTGATGGATACTCTGAGATCATGAAAGCCATCAGAAAGCTGATCCCAGTGAGATGACTGATAAGGGGAGGTCAGGAGAAAGATGGACAGGAGAGATGTGAGATTTGGGGGAGGGAACAGGGGCTTTGCCAGCAGAAATTAAGGATTTTGTAGAGGCAAGTTGGTTCAGGTTCTGCTGATACTGCTGTAGCAGTGACTTGAAACAGTTATATGAGGCTATTCCCTGGCTTCAACCTGTAAACTTAATTCCTACACCTAAACGCTACTCCACACCCTGACAGGAATCCACTACTCTAATGACTGACCTCAATATATCCCTAGAAGAAAAATCTCAGCCCATAGCCGCTTCCCCTAGCTCTTACTCTCTTAATCACTCTGATTTCTGCTCTTAATACTAGAACTAAAATGGCCTACACTAGAAAACTGCTTAAGAGACCTAAACAAGACCCTTAACCCAAATGAATGTGAAGGGCCATGGATCTGATCAGCTTGTGGGTCACGACGAGGAGATGGGTGGGAATGCTCTGAGGAGCTCAGCTCTGCCTCAGGACCTCCTGCCCCAGCAGGAGGAATGTGACTGTGGCAGGGACTGTGAGGTCACTTCTGTCTCTGCACGTGATAGGGCAGCTGCAGGAACGTGTCATGCAAAGGGACTGTGAGGTCACTTGTGTCTGGAGGTGGCAGGTCAGCCTTGACTTCTCCCTGGGAGCTGCACTTTTGGGCTGACATCTGGCAGTGGCCCTGCTAGGCCAGCAGAAGACACCTGCTTGGCATGCTGACTGGGGGATCCCCTCTGCCTCCAGAGCCAGGAGGACCCAGGCAGAAAGAAGGCCCCCAGATGGGTTGTCCTGTCCCTTCTGCTTGAGTCCATGAGTGGGCAGCAGCAGGCACAAGGCTTGGCTGTGTGTAGCCAAGAAGCTGCAAGGCCAGCAGCAGGCCCCTGGCTTGGAAGCTGCTGCTGAGGTGACTTGTGTGTGGTTGGCTGAGAGGCCACAAGGAGCCTGCTGGGTTGGGATGCCTACTTCAGAAGGGGTTTCCTACCAGATGCAGCTTCCTTTGGTAGCAGGAAAGAGCGGGAGAGAAAAAACTGCCACAAAGTGCACCATGGATGGTTGGCACTGGCTACAAGGAAGAAGAAATATCCAGGGGAACAACTGGTCTTGCTGCTAGAGTCTGAAGCAAAGAAGGCATTAAGTACCTCATTATTTACCTTATCTCGAGATCTTCAACAGATTTCCCGCATATCTAATAAAGGATGATGGTTCTCCTTAATCTTCCTTTATTTATAGTGTTTTTATAAACAGTTTTTCATTGTCTTTGAGAGTCACAGACAGATTGAGCTCCAGCTGGGCTTTGGCCCTTCTAATTTTGACCTGCACAGCCCCATAACATTCAGGACACAGCTCCAGACAAACTGACTGCATGCATTAGAAGGAAGCACAGAAGAGGTGGAACCTGGCAGCTTTCCATTCTCTTCTGTGACTCTGTTCTGCAATTCCATTCAACTGGTTACTCCTGTATTATCCAAACTGATGCTGCTGTCTTGTCAGACATAGCACAATCACACACAAAGGTTGAACTGTCTGCCTGTAGACATGAAGAGCTGACAGAATGGAGCATCAGTGTGGGGCAACCTTGAGAAACTGCAGGATTTTGCCTACAGAAACCTCTTGCCTTTTACAAGGAGAAGAGCCCAGTCCTGAAACAGAGGAAGAGGAACCCCACACATCAGGGCAGACTGGGACCCTGCTGAGTGAGCAGTGCCCAGGAGGAGGAGGGCCTGAACACAACGAGGGATGCCATACGAGCAGTGGTGCCTGCTCAGCAGCAGCTAGGCCAGATTCCCACCGAGCTCCCTTACGAGGAGCATGGCCACCAAGAAGATCTGAGTTGTCAGACTCCTCAGAGATCCAGTGTGGCACTACACAGAAGAGGGCCTGCAGCCAACAGGAAAACACGTACAGGTCCAGGAGTCCCTAGGACAGCCTGGTATGGAGAGGATCAAGGGCTCTACCAAGGCTCAAAGTCTCAACAGGACCCAGGTCTTTGTGTCCATGGCTATGACTGCTGTCTTTGCCACTGAGGCCTATGAGGAGACAGCTGATCGTTAAAGCACCAGGGCCTCATTGACCCCTCGCCCCCAACCATGAAGCAGGCAGGGCTCGTACCATTCTCCTGCACTTGGCCATGCACATCCCCATCTCCTACTGCCCCATAAAGAGCCCTGAGCAACCTGTCAAGGGAAAGGATCCCCCTTAAAATGGGATAGATGTGAAGTCCTGGCCCTTGTGCTTGGTGACACACATCCAGTTTTCCTACACATCAGTGTCACCTTCACATTGCCTTTGTCTCCTTGTCCTCACTGCCTCCAGGGTTCTGTTCTAACGAGCTCCAAGGGAGGCTGTGTCAGTGCTGGCCCTCAGGGGGACACTGCAGGAAACTTGCCTCTGACTTGGACTTCAGGAGAGATGTCTTCAATTGTCTCTGAGTGCCTGAGGTTCGTGGGCTCATCAGCCAAGCCCCCAGAGGGGTGATTGCAGTGCCTTGGGCTGGTGCTGTGCTGCTGAGCTGGGCCGGGCTCCTGGGCACAAGAGGAGCTCCTGGCAAGTGCTGCAGAGAGACAGCTGTGCCCAGAAGCAGCTCCTCTGCACAGCGCAGCAGGGCTGGGGGCTCTGACCGCAGCTGGCACACAGAGAGGACAGAAGGAGAGAGGGCTTGGAGGCACTGAGGAGCGCAACAACAGAGGGCAGCGTGTGGCAGGACACATCTGCAGGCTCTTGACACCGTGAGGCTCTGGCAGCAGGGCACTGCAGGTGGGGTTGCCAGAGGGGACTTCTACACCTGGCACATATGATGTCCTATAGTATCTCTCAGGATGGGTCTTATTCTACCTGTAATATGGCATAGAAAATGTTTTAGAGAATGGTATTTTTAGGGGTCATTTTAACAGGAAGACCGAGGCTTGGTTTATCTGAAATGGAAGACTTACTTGGATTCTGTGCTTTCAGATTCTTGGTGTGGAGCGGAGGCAGGTTTCATGACAATGAATTGTCTGGATTGTACAGGAGACTGAGATTCCAAACGTATTGCAGGGAGAGATCAACATGGCAACAATTAAATTAATAAAATCCCTTCAGGCACCTCAGCCTAAAGACTGAAACAACAATGTTTGTTATCTCCTCAGGGCTTATCAGGTCTTTAGGAGCTGCAGCCCCCATGATGCCCTGTACTCAGGAAGCACACAACTTGTGGGACGGGGTCTGTGAGCTAGGACATGGAAGATACGTGGGGACAGAGATCCTGTTTCCAGCAGGGACATAGGAAGGCAGTAGAGATATGAACAGGGCAGGCAGTGAGAGGGAGCTGCTGCCAGAAATGCTGTGCGAGGGAGGGCTCAGGCACCTCCCTGCCGTCCCCTGCAGGGCAGGCGCCTTCCCTGGGACACCCCCTGCTCTCCTCTTCCACCAGCATGGCCTCTGCCCTCAAGCCACCGGTTTCCCCAGCAGGAGCTGCCTCGTCTGCAGGCAGAGCTGCAGCACAGGAGGGTCTGCTGAGTGTCCGTCTGTCCCTCCCTGGCCTTGCCTCCCCTGGCAGCAGCACGCTGGCATTCCTCCTGGCTTCTCCAGCTGGCCGTGCTGCTGCTGGTCTTGTTCCCAGGCTGGCTGGGGATGGGGGTTTCACATGCCCTCGGTGAGCCTTCAGTGTGTTTGGGTGGAGGGACAGGGTGAGGGTTGTGGAGATGGGCACTTTGAGCCTGGATTCCTCTGCTCTCAGCAGTGTTCAGGTTCTTTTCAGATGAACAACTGAGTACAACTTTCCTGCAGCTCTCACAGGGCGGCTGAGACCAGCACTGATGGACAGATTGTCTGTCCTCACTAAAGGACACTCTGCACTGTAGGGACAGTCCCTTTTTCTCTGAGCAGACACAAAGTTTCCCTTCAAGTGCAGGGGGAATGCCCAGGATTTCTGTTTTAGAAAAACTCAGCAGTGTCCAGGTTCTGTAGGCACTGGAACAGGCACCACAGGGAAGTGGTCACAGCACTAATGCTGTCAGAATTTAAATATTTGGGCAACCCCCTCAGGCATATAGACTGATTTTTGGGTGGTCATGTACAAATTCAGTGGTGGGATCTGATGATCCTTGTCGAACACTTTCAAGTCAGGATATTCTACGATTCTATGACACTAGGAACATAGGAGCAGAATTGCACTGTAGCTAAAAGACCGGCCAACATAGAGCAGCTGAGCCCAGAACTGATGGACTCCTCTCGGAAGAGCATTCTGCTCTAAAAATGCAGTATCTGTGACTGAAGATGTACAAGGTTTCACTTGGAGTGCAGCTGAATGCCCAGGATTTATGCCTTAGAAAGACTCATCAGGTGTGGTGGAGCAGCTGAACAAAGAGTACAAATCAAATAAACAAAGAAACAAATAAACAAATAAATCTCCACGTCTGCTTTGTGATGAACTTCGAGCAAAACTAGGGAAATCTCTGATATCAGGAGTGAAATGAATCTGAGACTGCCCCATGTTCCTGCCATGTTGCTACCTTGACCTGTAGTGCAGGACTGATTGTTCCATTGCCCACAGAAGAACACTCTTCTCCCAGAGAGACACACAATCACCTGGAAGTCATTAAAGGGACCTTAAAGATAACTGCCTGCAAGTGGACAATCAATTGGTTTTAAATGAGAAAACTGAGTTTTCCTCTGATAAGTCTGTTGTACATTACTACTATTCTTTCTCTTTGTGCAGGACCACTTCACAGAAATAACGGATGTCCAACAGCAGCTCAGTCACTGAGTTCCTCCTGCTGGCATTCGCAGGCACACGAGAGCTGCAGCTCCTGCACTTCGCGCTCTTCCTGGGCATCTACCTGGCTGCCCTCCTGGGCAACGGCCTCATCCTCAGCGCCGTAGCCTGCCACCACCGCCTCCACACCCCCATGTACTTCTTCCTGCTCAACCTCGCCCTCCTCGACGTGGGCTGCATCTCCACCACTCTGCCCAAAGCCATTGCCAATGCCCTCTGGGACAACAGGGTCATCACCTATGAAGCATGTGCTGCCCAACTCTTTCTCTTTGCTTTCTTTGTAGTAGCTGAGTATTGCCTCCTCACCGTCATGGCCTATGACCGCTACGTTGCCATCTGCAAGCCCCTGCACTACGGGAGCCTCCTGGACAGCAGAGCTTGTGCCCAGATGGCAGCAGCTGCCTGGGGCAGTGGCTTTCTCAATGCTGTCCTGCACACGGCCAACACATTTTCCCTGCCCCTCTGCCACGGCAATGCTGTGGACCAGTTCTTCTGTGAAATCCCCCAGATCCTCAAGCTCTCCTGCTCACATGCCTACCTCAGGGAAGTTGGGGCACTTGTGTTTAGTTTTTCTTCAGCCTTTGGTTGTTTTGTTTTCATTGTGGTGTCCTATGTGGAGATCTTCAGGGCAGTGCTGAGGATGCCCTCTGAGCAGGGCCGGCACAAAGCCTTTTCCACGTGCCTCCCTCACCTGGCTGTGGTCTCTCTGTTTGTCAGTACTGCCATGTTTGCCTACCTGAAGCCTCCCTCCATCTCTTCCCCATATCTGGACTTGGTGGTAGCATTTCTATACTCGGTGGTGCCTCCAGTATTGAATCCTCTCATCTACAGTATGAGGAACCAGGAGCTCAAGGAAGCCCTGTGGAGATTGATGACTTAATGTGTTTCAAGAGAATAAGTGCTCAGTCTGCTTCTGCAGATGAGTGTTAATGTCACTTATTATAGGAACAGCCTATATTCTGTTCCTTTGTGTTTGTGTGTGTGAATTTTATTAATGGATTTCCTTAGTTTTAGTTTAGTTAATGTTACCCACTAAAATGATATTGGTCATCCCAATTCCACTTCAGTATGTATTTGTCAAGTCTAGCTCAGCAACTGTACACAAAGAGACCTGTTCTGGCTCTGCAGGGGCAGTGCCCATGTGCAGGGGTGCAGAGGAAAAGAGTCCCATCCCAGCAGCATGGCCAGGGAGCACCAGCGCTTGGGGCATGCAGAGCTGCTCTCTTGCCACTGCTGCCCTGTCCTGCTGAGCCCTGCTGGTGGGCTCAGGCCCGGCTGCTCCTCTCACTTGGTGCCAGTGTTGCTGTGGTGCTGTGCTGGAACTGCTGGCAGGGACAGGCAGTGGGCACGGCAGTGGCACAGCTGGCCTCCACTGCAGCACTTCCCTCTTAAGGGGGGATCTCCTCCGAGGTGGACTGACCAGAGCTCAAGTGCTCAGTCAGGTGTGAGCAGGCAGAGGAGAGCTCTGCAGCCCCAGGGCACACAGCAGCCCCAGCAGAGGAGCCTGACGAGTGATTCCTTGCAGCCCTGGGGCAATGGCAGTGACCCCATGAGCTGGGTCTGCCTCCCAGCCTGTCCAGCACGGCCCTGCAGAGTAGTCCCCATGCCCCAGGCACCACAGCCCCCTTGCTCTGCAGAGCAGCACCGCCAGCTGGGGCTGGGGATGGGGATGGAACTGGGGCTGGGGCTTGGAGGGCGCTTCCCCGGAGTGTCTGCTAGACCAACTTCTGGCTTCTGGACTTGAGTGTAATCTCCACTGTGCACCAGGAGCTGAGAGACTGCCAACAGACATGGGACTGGAACACTGCCTGCAAGGTTCTTCCTTCCCTAGCACCTCCCAGGACTGCCACAGAACTGGCTCCTGTGTGTCAGAAAGGCTGGGAGCCCAGCAGGTGTGCCATGAGCTTGGAGGATCACAACCAGATCATTTCTACCTGGGCAGGTCCTGGCCCAAATAGGGGGTGTTTTGTAGGTGTGGTATTATAAGCTCAGTGGTGCATCAGAAGCACTAAGTCCAGCAGGAAGTGAATGGCTCTTAAACGTCTTGTGAGGTGAATGCTTTTTGAAGTAGCTGACAGGTCATACTTTGACCTGTCAAAGCCAATTACTTGGCTGGGATCTGTGACTTTAGGCTCACATCTGCCAGTGTCCATGGTAGGGCAGCAGAAGGCACTTGCTGTGCATGTAGTTTCTGAGATCGGCTCTTTCTAAGTACCTGATAGGCCCCATAGAGGAAGAGGTCTTGGATAGGTGTTGTCATGTCAGAGGTGTCAGCTTTTGCCTGAAGTCATCCTTTAGGACTGCTTTCAGTTTTCTACACAGAGGGGACCACTGCCTCCAAGAGGCTTGGGGCAAAATGAACCATGCATGAAGGTTTGGAAAAAGGTACCCTGGGTGCAAAGAAGGCATTCCATATCCAGAATTTGGAGGCAGGAAACAAAATTTTGGGGTGGTACAAGAACTGCTGGGCACATGGTGCAGGGTTCACCTACAGCCTTTGTGTTCTTCACCATCCTGACTTAGGTGCCATGTCAGTCTCAAAAAAGGAGTAGTCAACTGATATGAGACAGATACTCTGAGATCATGAAAAGCATCAGAAAGCTGCCCCTGTCAGATGACTGATATGATGAAGTCAGGAGAAGCCTGGCCAGGAGAGATGTGAGATTTGAGGGAGGGAAAAAGTGTTTGGCCAGCAGAAATTAATGATTTCTGTGAGGTTAGAACATTCAGGTCATGTTAATTCTGCTGTAACGCTGGCTTAAAACAGTCATGTAAAGCCCTTCCCCTATTTTAACGAGTGACATTCATCCCCAAAAATAAATGTTACTCCACACCCTGACAGGAATCCACTGTATTTATGCCTGACCTAAAAGTATCCCTTCAAGCCAAAACACAGCCTATAGCCGCTTCCCTTTATATTTAGTCTCTTGCTCACCCTGATATGATCAGCTTGTGGGCCACAAGGAGGAGATGGGTGGGGATGCTCAGAGGAGCTCAGCTCTGCCTCAGAATCTCCTGCCCCAGCAGGAGGAATGTGACTGTGGCAGGGACTGTGAGGTCACTTCTGTCTCTGCACTTGATAGGGCAGCAGCAGGAACGTGTCACGCAAAGGGACTGGGAGGTCACTTGTGTCTGGAGGTGGCAGGTGACCTTGGCCTCTCCCTGGGAGCTGCACTTTTGGGCTGACATCTGGCAGTGGCCCTGCTAGGCCAGCAGAAGGCACCTGCTTGGCAGGCTGACTGGGGGATCCCTTCTGCCTACACACCCAGGAGGACCCAGGCAGAAAGAAGGCCCCCATATGGGTTGTCCTGTCCCTTCTGCTTTAGTCCATGACTGCACAGCAGCAGGCACAAGGCTTGGCTGTGTCTCCACAAGAAGCTGCAAGGCCAGCAGCAGGCCCCTGGCTTGGAAGATGCTGCTGAGGTGACTTGTGTCTGGTTGGCTGACAGGCCACAAGGAGCCTGCTGGGTTGGGATGCCTACTTCAGGAGGGGTTTCCACCCTGATGGAGCTTTCTTTGGTAGCAGGAAAGAGCAGGAGAGAAAAACTGCCACAAATTGTTCCATGGAAGGCTGGCACTGGTCACAAGGAGGGAGAAATGTCCCTCAAAGGGTCATGCTGTGGTGCCAGATGTCACCCTCTGATCAGACTCTGGCTTTGTGTTTCAAGGAACAGCTGGTGAGAGCTTTCAAGACATCAGTGAAAGCAAGGCATGAGAACAAGATGGCGAACAGAGATGGATGTCTGCAGACTTCAAGAAAATAGGGCAATGTGTGGGACAGCATTGGAAAACCTGCAGAGGAGAAGGCAGAGGGTGCTGGTAAAAAGGGAAGACCCAACAGCCCTGAAGGTTTTTCCCCTTGGCAGTAGCTTAGGAGGAGAGATGTTATACTCATTGCAACCCTGTGCAGCAGCTCAGAGGTGTCATACCACTGTTCTTCTCATGGCATCACACTGCCCACCAAATCCCACAGACCCCAGCAAGAGCTTTGAGCCGGACGTGGGGGTGCAGGATCTCCTGTTCCAGTGGCTGGGGTCAGGCCTTGGACCTTTTAATTCACCAAAACCAACAAAAACATTTCTCAGCACAGTGATTTGCCTATCTGAAATCATGGTCTCCAATTATCTACCCTAACTAGTCCCTAGGGAGGCTTTGTTAGTAACAGCCCTCAGTGGGGCACATTAAGACTCCATGTCACTTCAGCTTTTCCTTCTGACTTTAGTTTCTCTAGCAGTTGTATCATTGTCCTCTCAGTACCTGAGCTTCATAGACTCAGCACTACAATACACCGTGGAACTCATTAAAATGAAGAAATTCCTAACATCTCCTCCATAGTTTTCTTCAAGGTTTCACGCCTTGTGCAGCTAATTGCAGAGTTTGCATGACATAGTTAAGGGAAAAGATTTCACAAAGCACATAATAAATATATTTTCTTGATTCAAAGGCTGAATTTTGTTGCATTTCAGTTTGGATCATCATTCTCCTATTGCTACTGATCCAGGGTGACTTCTTTGGAGACCTCCATCGGGAGGAAAATGAGAGTCTGGAGGTCTGACACCTCCACTGCCAGCAGTGGTCTTTGTCCCTGTAACTGCAGCCCAGCCCAGCACATGAAACCCTTTCTAAGATGTCAGGGGTGTGTTCAGATAATAATAACATAACATAACATAACATAACATAACATAACATAACATAACATAACATAAAATAAAAAGATTAAAATGATCATTGGATCCTGAGAAATTCATCCTGAATCTCAGTAGACAGCTGGACATCCATGGACCCTCTTGGATCATCTGTGGAAAACTCAGGGTGAAAAATAAAGAAAATATATCTTTATTGGCTGTAGCTGTAACCATGAGCCTGGCCTCATTGGGGAAATTGTCCCCTTCCAGACACAGAATCCTAAATAGAGTAAAGGGGAAAAAACTGCCCAGTCAATGGAGTAGGGCAAAGTTTTACTTCCTGTGCTACAGATGCAGAAGGCAAAAAGAATTGCATTGTGCCTGACACTACTCTGGGACGTGTCACCCAGGTCAGGCAACTTTACCTTAGTGCTGACAAGTCCATCACTAAAGCACGCTCCCAAGCTCTACATCTACCCCTTGGCTCTCCAGTCGATGACCCAGCTCATGATGGCAATCAGGGAGTCTCGGTTAGCGCGACCTTGCCTCGGGTGCGCCACCAGGGTAGCCATTGGCATCTGCTGTTCTTCAACCCTCAGCAAACCCCCAACAGAAGGGTTCTGTGGAAGGCCAAGCAAGGTAGACAACTGTTTCATGTCCTTTGTCTCCAAGGCAGCTCTGCCAAAGCCCCACCAGTGGTGCCCTCTTGGAACTTTGCAGTTCCCTCTCCTGATGCAGTCTAAGCTGAGGATGCACATAGCCTCCGGGCCAGTCCCAATGGGGCGTGTGATATATGGAGTAATATTTGTGTCAAGAAGATGGTTGATATAAAGAAGGGAGACATGTGGAGGTGTGGCCATTGGGGTTGGCAAGCCCCATGGTTGATGATACCTTCAAACTCTTAAGGATGAGGCCATCAGGAATGTAAAAGAGTTTAGAGGGAACATAGAAGGGTGAGGACCTGTAACCCCGGTCATGCAACTTTACCTCGGTACTGACAAGTCCATCAATAAACCGTGCTACCAAGCTCTACATTGACATCATGTCAGATGTTCACGTGTGCAGGCAGACAGTTCAGCCTTTGTGTGATTGTGCGCTCTCTGACAAGACAGCAGCATCTGGAGCTGCAGGAAATTTTGGATAATACAGGAGTAACCAGCTGAATGGAATTGCAGCACAGAAGAGTCACAGCGATGGAAGGCTGCCAGGTTCCACTTCTTCTGTGCTTCCTTCTCATGCATGCTGTCAGTTTGTC